TTTTTTCTGAAATCGTGACCCCGGGCCTTAGGGATTTTTTCAAAAAATCTTTTTCCGCCGGTTAAGTTGTCGAGGGCAGATTTCTTCTCCTGTTATAAAAAGCCTTCTGTTTCGACCTCCACAGCTTTCAGAGGAGCATTTGCAACCATTTGGCATCATTTTTGAGTGAACTGCAGAATGTCAGATTTTTTTTCTGAAATTGTGACCCCGGGGCTTAGGGATTTTTTCAAAAAATCTTTTTCCGCCACTTAAGTTGTCGAGGGCTGATTTCTTGTCCTGTGATAAAAAGCCTTCTGTTTCGACCGCCAATGCTTTCAGAGGAGCATTTGCAACCGTTTGGCACCATTTTTGAGTGAACTACCGAATGTCAGATTTTTGCCGAAATTGTGATGCCGGGGCTTAGGGATTTTTTCAAAAAAATCTTTTTTCGCCGGTTAAGTTGTCAAGGGCTGAATTCTTGTCCTGTTATAAAAAGCCATCTGTTTCGACCGCCAAACCTTTCGGGGGAGCATTTGCAACCGTTGGGCACTATTTTTAAGCGAATTGCCGAATGTCAGATTTTTGATGAAATTGTGACCCCGGGGCTTAGGGATTTTTTTGAAAAAAATCTTTTTCAGCCGGTTAAGTTGTCAAGGGCTGACAACTGTGGTCCCGGGGCTTAGGGATTTTTTCAAAAACATCTTTTTCTGCCACTTAAGTTGTCGAGGGGTGATTTCTTCTCCTGTGATAAAAAGCCATCTGTTTCGACCGCCAAACCTTTCGGGGGAGCATTTGCAACTGTTGGGCACCATTTTTAAGTGAATTGCCGAATGTCAGATTTTTTCTGCCGGTTAAGTTGTCAAGGGCTGAATTCTTGTCCTGTGATAAAAAGCCTTCTGTTTCGACTGGCAAACCTTTCAGGGGAGCATTTGCAACTGTTGGGCACCATTTTTGAGTCAATTGCCAAAAGTCAGATTTTTTCTGAAATTGTGGTCCCGGGGCTTAGGGATTTTTTCAAAAACATCTTTTTCTGCCGGTTAAGTTGTCGAGGGCTGATTTCTTTTCCTGAGATAAAAAGCCTTCTGTTTCGACCGCCAAACCTTTCAGAGGAGCATTTGCAACCGTTTGGCACCATTTTTGAGTGAATTGCCGAATGTCTGATTTTTGCTGAAATTGTGGTCCCGGGGCTTAGGGATTTTTTCAAAAAATCTTTTTCCGCCGGTTAAGTTGTCGAGGGCAGATTTCTTGTCCTGTTATAAAAAGCCTTCTGTTTCGACCGCCAACCTTTCAGGGGAGCATTTGCAACCGTTGGGCACCATTTTTTCCGCCGGTTAATTAATTAGGCAGCTCATCTGTTTTTTAAAAAGCCTTAGTACAAGTATGTCGGTAAACAGCAGGTGGCTAACACTATCTCAAGAAGTTTGGGCTTTTGCAGTGGTGGATAATTGCCATTGCACAGATAGGAACACTCCTTCCTATTTCTGGATCATTCTGAGCTTTACTCAGTGGCAATAATTTGGCCTGACACACAAGCTGTCAGGGAAAATCTTCTGGGGACTAGGTAAATGGTAAAGGGACCCCTGAGCATTGGGTCCAGTCGTGACCGACTCTGGGGTTGCCGCGTTCATCTCACTTTATTGGCCAAGGGAGCCGGCATGCAGCTTCTGGGTCATGTGGCCAGCATGGACTAAGCTGCTTCTGGCGAACCAGAGCAGCGCACGGAAACGCCGTTTACCTTCGCGCTGGAGCAGTACCTATTTATCTACTTGCACTTTGGTGTGGTTTTGAACTGCTAGGTGGGCAGGTGCTGGGACCGAGCAACGGGAGCTCACCCCATCATGGGGATTCGAACCGCCAACCTTCTGATCGGCAAGTCCTAGGCAGGCCACCAAAAATGGCTCAGTGGGCCTATTTTGGCCCTTGGGTTGTGGCTTTGACACCCCTGCTGTAGGTTCCAAGCATCCACATGTTGCTATTTTAGAAGCTCAGCTCAGCAAAGTCAGCATGGTGTAGTGGTTAGCGTCAGACTAAGTCCTGGCAGGACCAGGGTTCAAATCCCCCAAACTCATTGGGTGTGTGACCTTGGGCCAGTCACCTTCCCCCAGCCTATCCTACCTTGCAGGGTTGTTGTGTGGATCAAATGGGGAGGCAGGTGAACCATGCAGGTGAACTTCAGCTCTCTGGAGGAAAAAAAGCTGGGATAATTCATGGAATAATAAATACGCTTAGCTCTTGGGCAATGGACACACCCCTGGTCTAGCAGGTGGTAGGGCAGACCAACTCCCTCCTCAGGCATGAACTTCACCGTGTGACCCTCAACTTCGTTACCATCTCTCTGCCTAGCCTACCTTACAGGGTTGTTGTAAGGAAAAGGGGAATTCAGTACATACACCACCCTGAGCAATTCTCAAAGGAAAGTAGGAGGAAAATGTAATAACTATCATATTCATGGATGGGACCATGGGGAACAGCTAGTGGTCAACGGGAGACCCCAGGCCTCATTTGTCTAAAGTCCTTGGTTCATTCCCCCATTACAGCAGGCATGGGGAGCCCAGAGCCCCTCAGATCTCCTTTGTATGCAGAAAGTCCTGGGTTCAACCCCAGCTCAGGCTGACGGAGACGTGTCTGGAATCCTAAAGTGCGGTCACCAGTCTGCGTAGATCAGTCTTCTTCAACCTGGTGCCTTATTTTGGACTGAAACAGGTGCCCAAGCCACCTGGTTTCTCCCACCATGGTGAGATATATCATTTCTCCTTTTGAAATGATTGCAATTATT